CTTTTTTTTTTTTTTTTTTTTATTATTATTAAAGAAGTAATGAATTACTTGTTTCCGATTTTCGAAATTTGGATTATGATGAATTCATTTGTCAGATCTAAAAAAGAAATGACAAAGGGTAAAGGTGTTGGCTAGTGATGACTAAACAAACTACTCATTTTATTTATTGGGGGACATTACATTTATACCATGAGGCTTGGCCACGCTTCGATTTTGGAATTGTCACCTTCGGCTTCCGTATTCTGTTTTCTTAAAAGGATTGATATATATGCCGACCTTGTAAGTGGACACTATTTAATTCATATTTTCCGATTGGGGTCGCATGCTATAAGTTACTCTAGCCCTGATATTTCATTATTTTCACAAATTCTTGCCCGATCAGTTTAATAATTAGAGGTGTCGACTCATCATATTTTTTTAACTAAATGCATTTTTATATTATTAAGTGTCATACTTTGTTTATGTTAATATTGTAAGCGTGGATTTTTCTAATAAAAGTATGCATATTTATATAAAAATATATGTCAGCCTAATTGTTATTTTTTTTTTATTTCTTTTTTTCTGTCGGAACAATAGAAATTTAAAGAAAAAAAACATAATTACAACTAGAAAACAACCCGACAGCTGAATAACATAGCTCTTGAATTGAATCTAGCGGCACGACAGATCTGAAAATCGCTTAGATCTAAACTAGAGCACAACTCACCCACAAGCAAAACACAAAGTTAAACTAAAAGACTCCATAACTAGAGATTAAAAAGCTCTCCTACGGGAAAATACTCCCTCCCCTACGGGATAATAGGATGGACTCAAAAATACGAAAAAAAAAGGGAATAAAGTGAAATATAAGAGACCATCCAAAGCAAAATATTAAAAGATTGTGTCCAAGTCTTAACAATATTGATTGTTAGAGCGTCTTCAATGCTTAATAAATTTAGTAATGTCAGCAATTTTTAATCCATGTGATTGATGATGTTGACATATTTAATGTTTAAAGTGTAGAGGAGAATGTGACTCTCTTTATAGTTATTTTCAAACCGCAAAACCAAGTCAGTTGATGTGTTAATACAAAGTGTAGATTTATATCAAATAAGCTTCGGAATAGAATAATTATTTCACTATTTTACCCTTTAATTGCTATTATGTGTTAGTTATATTTGTTGGATTATATATTGTAGAATTAGGTTTAGGCCCAACCTAAGGGAGGTCAGTCTTATGTCATATACGTGTACATATCCTTGTGCTAATACAAGAGATATATTTTTTCCACATTCTTACAAAGTATCAGACTAGGGTTAGAGTCAAATATAGGCTAAATCCTTCGTCGCTCGTCTCCAGCCGTCATTGACTCTCACCACCCCCGCCATGCTTTCTGACGTCCCACGACGAGTAGTCACCGGGGTTTTAGAGTTGTAGACGGCGCATGAAGCTCACACGTGCCCCATCTTCTTCCCAACGTTGGCATCTTTCGTAAGAGTGTTAGGCATGGCCACTGGCCAGGGTCGACCCTGACCGCGCGGGTCGAACTGGAACGAGCCCGTATATACGGATCATTGAACTAGATCTGTGCTACAAACGGGCTGATTCTGAGTCTTTTTTTTTTAACCCGCTGGTTTTGGGCCGGAAGACGGGTCTGGGTTTTCGATTTTTTTTTCCCTCCAGGCCGGGCCGGGTCGACCGTTGGATATCCGGCGGCCAGATTAAATTTGGGTCGCCGGATCAATCTGATAGCTGGAAATTCAACGATCAGTTTTTTAATTTTTTTTTTTTTTTAAAAAAAAAACTTAGTCACCGAGATCTCCTGATACTTAGTCATCGAGACTTGATACTTGTTGTAGCAAATTATATTTTACCGAGTACGGGATGACTCCCAACCTCGGGTCAATCTCACAAGGAAGGCGGTTCGGAATTTAACTTCGGTATTGATTTTCACACAAAAATAAAATAAATCCTAAACACTTTAATCAGATAGCAGATTGGATTAACTATCAACTAAGAAATAGCATAAAAGCGTAAATCCTAAAATACCAACTAGATAATAATAAAGAAGCTAGGGAATCGGGGATAATTTATTCAAGTTCGCAACGTAAAGCCAGGAAATTGATCGTTCGGTTCGGAACTGACACTCTCGCCTACACGTCTAGCGGTTCGCTCCCAATAACTCTTCGTAACAAGGGATTGAACATAGACGAGCAAGTTCGAGCATACACTACCGGCCAATTATCCAATCCCAATAACTTTTCGTAACAAGGGACAAGACACCGACAAGCATGTATTCCAATCCAAAACCCATAGATTATTCAGTTACGAAATCATCTATCTCGTGCGAGCCTAGGTCTACGACTTTTCCCCTTTCGGTTCTAAAAGTCGCTAATTCAATTAGAAGAGAATTAATCAACTAACCATTTAGAATCAACAAAACCCTAACTCGACTAATCAACATTCAACCATTTCCAATTGCAAGATCGAAGTGTCACTCTTCGATTATATCAATCAACCAAACAAGATTTCATCGATTCCTAATCAAATTAACTCGCACAAGAACAAACGAATCAAGCCCGACAAATACACGTTAAACGAGAACAATCATCCCCTATCTCTTGCAGAATAAATTAGCTACGTAAATTCGATTCAACACGATCAATCATCTTAGCCCAAGTAATTATTTTCATAGATTAAATGAAAAGAAAGACTTACGATTGATATAAAAATCGAACGTTGAATCTGTATTACAAGCTTCGTCCAAAAGCAATCGAAAAATCACGGTGAAACAGTGGAGTTTTTGGAGAGAAAAATGAAAGAGAAAGATGAAGAGGAATGAGAGAAATAGATCGTTGGGACTAGGGTTTTTACTCCCCGAGGGGAGAGTTTTCTTTTTGTGAGGTCCCGTGCAGCCTTATATAGTCAACTGAGTGACACGGCGTGAAGGACGAGCAGCGCGGCGTGCAGGGCTGGAGTACCGCGGCGTGGAGGTTCATCGCGGCGCGGAGAGCGCCTGTGCCGCGGCGTGGAGCGAGTAGCGCGGCGTGGCGGGCGTCCTAGGCGTGTTCTGTCCGCTCATGACGAGTGCCGCGTCTGGAAGCGTGGCGTGGTGGGGAGGATGTGTCGCGGCGCGACAGTGTCTCACGGCGTGGTGCTCGGGACAGGTGCTCTGAAGGAGTCGCGGCTAGTGCCGCGAAGCGGAGCGGGCGCGGCGCCTGGGTCTAGTGCTTGGACCGTTTGCGCAACTCACGTTTTGAAGTCGTTCGGGCTCGTTTGGTATTGGAATTCGATTCCGTCTTCTCATGTGTGATGCACACGAAATTCTCTATCTGATAACACTTGCCCGACTAATGTTTTCCCGAAATTCTATTCTCTCGAGACTTCCAATCTGCACACCACCGACAACGAAAAACCGAAAAACGACCGAAAAAGTACAAGAAAGACAGAAATAGAGCAAACCACGAACTAAACTATAAAACGAACTAAAAACTAACGAAAAAAACCTAATATAGGGAAAAAGAAAGATAAAATAAGTACGAAAAATGCAACAAAAATGGGACAAACAATACTTAGTCACCGAGGCTTCCTGATACTTAGTCACCGGTCCCTTAGTAGGGCTATATCAGGGTCAAACCCTTTTTCAATGACTAATTTTCTACCAATCCTCCACATGAGTCAATGCATGCATGTATGCAGATTCTTGTACTCAATTTTCACGATATACATGCATGCCTCTTGTACGCAATATTCACAACTCTTATATTAGGAACTATATATAGCATGTGACTTTGAACCTTCTTTAGTAAAGATTCAGATGTGCTTGTGACCTAGTGGACATGTGTTGAACTGTTATTTCATAGTGTACACCAAGACAATGACATACATTTAACAAAACTTTAGCTCCACGTGTTCTATTGCCGTGGCCATTTTGACCATGAACAACACATTGGATTAGTTTATAAATATTTAGTACATATAAAGTGACCATCATTTCACACTTATACTGATGACATCTCTATCAAGTGTACCCTATAACACTCAACCTTTACAAATTTGAGATTCATTAAAAGTCCCAAGGACATACCCTCGCCAGAATAAACAAATAATTGCAATTGAATTTATTTAGGGATTAAATTTGGTTCTTTTAATGCTCCAAATGCTTAGTTGAATTTACATAGTCTAGTTTCCTACTTGAACCATGTTCATGGATCTTCGTTCAGCAAGGTAAAATTATTGCTACAATCATTCTTTTTTTCATTGTGGATTTTTAAGCCCATTCACTTTAGGAAAAGTTCTCAATTGATCTCTTTTAATTTCTTTAGTAAAAGGGACTGACAAATTTTATTTTAGACTTTACTTAGTGATCAATAGAAATAATAAAATTCGCGATCAATTTCTAAATGTTATTATTATATATATGATGAATATGTCTAGACTTATTTTTATACATATTGTTCTTCGACATTCTTTTAGAAGTTTGGCCATGACAGTGAATCACCACAATCGACAAAGACTTACTCCAACATGGAATATAAATAAAAAAAAAAAAAATCTATTACTCTTCGACTTTTCACTAGCTTTGTCTAAAGGAATGAAATCAAATTTCATGGTGAACCATCAAGCATGCCTGAATTCACACTCCTATTTTATAAATGCAGCGCAATAGTGAATTTGTAAACCAAAATAAGGTTTCAAGGTTAGAAAGAGAATAAATTCAGAATATATATTAACTAATTAGTTTGGGGAAAGAGACAATGTATCGTGCAAATTTATTGATTATGTCAGGTATAGGATATAATTGATGTTTTCTAGAGATTGCAATATGCATGCATTCCAATTTATTTGGCTG